AGAGAGAGAGAGAGAGAGAGAGAGAGAGAGAGAGAGAGAGAGAGAGATGGGGAGATCTCTCTCTCCCTATCCCCCCTTCTCTCCCTCTCTCTCCCTCTCTCTCCCTCCCATTCCCTTAACCCACCACTGCCCCCAGAACTCGATGCTATTTTGCATGACACTTCTTTTCCAAGCCTGGCCCACCGAGCTGGAAAGATGTGGGGCTACCGGTTGCTGCAGAGAGCAAAAAATGTTTTGTTTGCTGCCGGATTTGCTCTGCAGAGCATTTTGTTCTTTTTCTTTTAATAATTTCTGGGAAAGAGCAGCATTCATTTTCGTTCAAAGCTCTGAGCCAAAAAAAATCCCCAAAGTCAGCACATGCAACATTTTGGAAAACGCCGCACACAGCCTGTGCTGAACCTACTGGCCCACCCTGTAGCCAACATTGGGTGGAAAGTTATGCATTTTTGTGGCAGTGGGGTCAGTGGTATTAAACCAGGGTGCTATCACATAAAAGTTTTTAATAAGCCTGTTTGGTGCTTGCTGGATCCTAGAATCAATCTGTAAATGGGTGGTGAGCTTCTCTCCTTTTAATTTAAAAAAAAAAAGGGCGACGGCCTTGAGATATCATGAACTGACCGGCCCCAGGTAATTCAGAATGATTTTATTCTGGTCATTTGATTGTATCTGGATTCGAACTTGGGTCTGTATTTCAACAGTTGGTGGGTGTATCAACTGAGCTAGGCCCGTTGGTAGTGGTGAGCTTTTTAATTTCGTTTTTTAATAATTTATATTGTGTTGTGCAGCTACCTTAGTTTTTGTTCATATCCAGTGTTTGTTGTTCTTCGCATTCATGTTATTAGGAGGGCTTCTCAGTAAAATGATAAGGGTATGATATTGAAAATATAGTTTCTGGTGAGCCGGGGAAGAAGTGCTCACGTTCCGTGTTGTTGTGCTGACACAGCAGTTATTGTGATAATCGTTCCTTGCAACAGATATACGGTTTTATGGGAGCTGTCGATGCCATGCAGGTGAGCTGTGCGGAGCTCAGCTCCCTCCTTGTTCTTCCCTTTTTTCGGAAGTAACAAGTTCGATGAAGACATCATTTGCCTGAATAGAGAATTTGGGACACAGATCCCTAATCCAGGCGGCAGGAGAGAGATTCATTGCAAAGCTACTGTATATTATGGACTGTTTTTTGGACTTTTTCCGTTTCGTTTTTTTGTCAGAGGTGAACCCTTCCAAGGGCTATTGGGGTCCTATCCCTACCGCTATCAGGTATCCTGGATACAGCAGCCAAACGGAATCAGACCCCTTTGGGAGTGTGCGATCATGTGCCTTAGGAGCAAGCAAAATGAGGTGCTGCATGGGACCCCGCATCTTACTGACTTAGTGTGTCACAGTCACATCATTACATATGGTGTTCTTTGTGTTTTCAAGATGCTGAGTGAATGGGTTCTGGTCTTAAGTTAAAGTTAACCGATCTTGAACATCGGGTGCATACTGAGGTGCGTAGTTCCAAGATACGGTTATACTGAATCATAACGTTACTGTGTGACAGATGCATTTGGATTTTGAAGTGCCTGAAGGCAGAATAGAGCAACGCAATCAAGTTGAATCCACCTTACAGCCACATTACCCACTGTGCAGTGTCGATCCCTCCCTCTCTCTCCATCCAGCTGTCAGTGTCCGTATGTGTATCTGTGGGTAATTCTGTTTGTCTGGTTGTGTCTCTCTCTCTGACACACTCATGCTTACATGCTGTCTTTGTGATCACTCCGTCTATGAAAATCGCTAATCAGGGTGGTGGATACCAACTCCAGACATCAACAAGCTATTGTGGCGGTCAGTATTGTGGTACCAGAGTGTTGGGATTGCATATTCATGGTCCAAAAACTATGAAGATACAATGAAGACCGTTGCGTTGGGGGACGAATGAAACACATGGATCAGCAGTTCATGATGGGTTTGGTGACCTGTGTAGCGTGTGCGTGGTCCACACGGCCTTTTTTGCTGTGGGCCACCCACATGGCCCACTCGCTATTCTTTTGCTATGGGCTGCGCACGTGCACTAAGTGGTGGCTGCCTATTTTGCTGTGGGCCACCCATATGGCCGCGCACATGTACTAAGTGGTGGCCTTTCTTAGGGCGGTGCCATCAACCCAGCGAACCTCAAAGCCTGCTCCAACATTATGCTGTGCGGCACCCGCGCTTGAAAGATTGCGCCGTGCTGCTGCCTGCCGAATCAGTGCTCAAAATATCAGTCCCCGCTGTTGTAGCACAGGGATCAAAACATTAAACTGCTCCCCTGCCAAAAGGCGCAAGAAAGCAAGCAGCAGCCTGTGCCACACACACACACACACACACACACAGAGAGAGAGAGAGAGAGAGAGAGAGAGAGAGGGATTCTCTTTTTGTTTTGTTTTGCCTTTTTTTATGAGCATCTCATTTGTATGCCACTTCTGACTTGTTCTCTGAAATTCTGGTACTTGGGTAACTTGGGGCTGAAGCCGTGACAGGTAATCTGACAATTATTTTTACAGTTCTGCTTCGTCAATGGCTGAAGAAATTCTTTGTCTCTGTGTGCAGCAAGTTCGGAGTACTCGTCAGGTCATCGAGCGGAAGTTGACTCAGTGTTTTCGTTTTGGGAGACAGATTGCAGATGTTTGTAACACCATACTTGAGCTGAAGGTATTTAGATCGTTTGCTCACACCGGATTGTCTATTACTCTGTGTCAGTGTGTCTGCATCTGTTTCTGCATTACTGCATAGTTATGAAAGCGATGCTTCCTCAGTGATTGTCAAGTTCTCCATGCTATGCCATCTGCTCGATTTTCGGCAAGGTTCCAGTCCAAACCCTCTCCATGATGGTAGATCTTCAGCTCAGACCCCATCCCCATCACCAACATGTTCTCAGAACTAACTTCATCGAAGGTTTTAAAATTTGGTACTTTCTGTAGGCCCACATCTCTGTAGGTGGTCGGTCAGCCGCAGTGTCCGGCAGCGCGCTGAGCCCTTCAGTTTCCAGTCCTCTCTGGGGTTTTCAGGACTTTGGATCGGAAAATGCACAACCAGACTTAACCAGTATTGAAAATTTGTGGCGTCTAGGAGCTGTATGCCTATTTGGCTGGTTTCATGGTGAACTCAGCTCCTCCATTGTTTCTTATGACAGATGTTGTTACAAAAGTTCTGCATGGTTGTTTGTCCTTTTTTGGTAAGCTTGGTATTGTGACCATGTTCATTTCTGCTCTACACCCCTCACTGCTGCAGTTTCTACTGCTGCTGTTTCAACTCCGGGTTTCACTCCAGCAGTTTCTACTACGGAAGTTGCCTCCGCTGCGGTCCCTGCTACGGA